TTGAAACCACTTCATGGCATGTGAGCATGGCAAGTGATGGATTGACCAGTTTTCACACGAGCATAATCTTTTGGATTCATTGACCGTGTGTGTATTATTCTCGCAGTTTTGATGCAGACCAGTGCGAACTTCAAAAATATTTCGCCGCTGCAATACTGCAAAAATGTATGCCACTATGCTCGCTTCTTATATTTCTCAAATCGTTTCATTGGCTATGGCATAAATTCAACACCTCTTTCCATCAATGACGATGTACCTCTAGATCTTTCAACAAACCTCTCTGACATCTGCGTGAAGGACATCCCCAACATGGCAGCAACAGGCAATCCACGTACAGACTTCAACAACCCATTGAAAGACTTTGACACATTTGTAGTCAAAATTCCCCACCTTCTCACCATCCTTATGCAAAGTCAACTTGTCAAGCTCATATCGCATCAACCAGCGATAGGCTTCTGGGTCTTCCTGCCTAATCAATTCCATTCGCTTCCTGAATTTACACTCTTGGCGATATGTTGCAGCCATCCACATTAAATCATGTAAGTCCTTGTTCGGGTGAGCCCTCTGGAAATTGGACTTCAAGTGCCTAACACAGTAACGGTGGTAGGCATACGGTTCCTGCCATGCACACAAATGATGTGCGGAACTTAAAAAACTGCCAAAGCGATCAGATATTAGACAAATACCTGAACGATGTCTGACAACATGCTCCTACAAGTGGTTCAAAAATAATGTCCTCGTCTCTTGGCTTTCATTGGCAGAAATAGAAAATGCTAGGGGAAATATGCTTCCATTAGCATATACTGCAACGACGATCAACAACTTAATATCATACTTTCCATAGACATGAGGGCCATCTATGGATATTACCGGCCGACAATGTACAAAACCATCAATGGATGGTTTAAATTCCCAGAACACATATCTGAATATGGATTCTGGTATTCCTGGACTCCGCTCAAGCTTCCATTCAACAACAGTCCCGGGGTTAAAGTGTTGTAATGGAGCCATGTACCTGGGTAGAGTGGCAAAGGACTTATCTCAGTTACCATAAACAATTTCAAACGCATGTTTACGCCCGGAAAATGCCTTTCTTTTGGTAATGGTACATCCATATTCCTGGTGGACAGATGTTATACACTCTTTAATCTTGTACCTTATGGACGCTTCAATGTGTGGAATCAAGAGAGAGAAATCAAGTCAACATTCAAGTTAAAATGATTCCTACTGAATGTGTCCATTTCACAAGTGTGGGTGCTAATGTATTTTCCCACAACCCACAAATTTGTTTTCAACTTTCTCGCATGCAGCACCCATGTACAACCTTGAAACCATCTACGACAAATAACCTTGTATAGTTCCGGAGATGACTCATGAACCACGATCTCACGACACTCTTTTATGATGTACATTTGCACCGCCCTGCTTAGGCGCGCTTTATCAGCAAAAAGCATATTCTTGGACAGCATCGCTAGTCTAGATTCATCCCACATTGCTGTCCAAATATCGTCAAGATCCCTTGTGAATGCATCCACATCTGGCATACTAGGCAACTGATAAAGGTAGGGAATCTCCCTTGAATGAAACAACACATGGGACTCGTACAGTCTCGGTCTAACGGGAGATGGAGCATACTCTCTCGTCAAAGCAGGTTCATCATTCTCGTCCTCATCATCATCACCCTCATCATGGAGGGGGTGTCATCTCCAGACTCATCAGCATTCCTGTCATAATCACTATCATCTTCCTGACTTTGCGCATCTGCCAGATCCCGATTAAATATATTGTCTGCGGACAATTGAGTAAGGACAGGACCTTCAAGTTGCCCATTTTCACTGCACAACCAATAAAATAATGAGTTTCTCAAATTTATCCAAACATTACATATAAACTTTATCACTTAACTTACAAATCATAATCTGTCGATATCCCATGATGCATATTATCCTGTTGCTAATGACTCCCGGATGGACCACCATGATCCAACACACCAAAACTGGGCATATTTTAACTGTCCATTGGTTCATAACTTGTAAAATTCATATCTGGCCGGTACCCCTAGTGGAATATATGAGTGTTAATACAAATACAATACATAAAAAAAATATCGTAATACAAAAAAAAATTAAAGTTTACCACTCGGCTTGTGGAATATGTAAACTTGGGGAGAAATTATGTCCTCACTTCTCATTCGCCCGTGGAGATAAGTTTAGATCTGGCCAAACTCTTTCAAATGGAACATGTTAGGATAAAACTGCTCCAAAAAAACCACCCGATGATTGAGGGTTATTCCTATTTTGCGGAACCTCAATATTGCGAACGTCTTCAGCCTTGACGTACATTTCCAACATTTTTATCACAAGAAGTTCCCGGTGTTCATCCGGAGTTCTCAAAAAATTTGTCAGAGTTTCATTGTCTTCGATGTTGAACTCAGCATAACAAGCAATCCCTTGCAGAGTGCCAGAATACGGATATCTTGTGGCTACTTTAATATTAACCGAACGTTTTCTCACACTCATTTTTTTACATAACAACAATACCAATCTATCGTACTCCATTGTAAATGGCAACTTAACATGACACTGTGGAGAACGACTATAGCGTACTGAGTTATTTTTCACCACAATCTTACTCCTCCTCCCCCCTCCCCCCAATATAATGAAACCCTAATTTTTCGCTCTTCGGGCATTATGACAAAATGCAAAATAATTTAAGCAAACAAATATTTCGGAAGATCTGAAGGATCCTGAATGAATTTTTAATTAAATTCTGAAACTCCTTAAATAATCAAAAAAAAAAAATCAGCCCGGGGTGCAATAATTGAAGGTATAGTGCATGCATAATATATATATATATATATATATATATATATATATATTATGCATGCACTATACCTTCAATTATTGGTGGGTCAGCAAAGTTCAGATGAATTATTGGTAGGCCAGTAAATTTCAAATTTAGCGCATGTAACCCATGCGTTATACCTTAACGGACAAACGTGCCGTTAAGGTATAGCGCAGTGAAGAAATGTGTTATATATAAAATGGTTCTCAGTTTTTTTTTCCACCCATTTTTGTGTTTTGATCCAAAAAGACAACACTTTGGT